CTCTCTCTCTCTCTCTCTCTCTCTCTCTCTCTCTCTCTCTCTCTCTCTCTCTCTCTCTCTCTCTCTCTCTCTGTCCCGTCGCTCCCACTGCCCGTGGTTCGGTCCCCTTCAAGACGCCTGTTGAATACCGTTCAAGACGTCTGTCGAACGCGGGAGACGATGGCCGAGTTTGAACACGCCCGCAAACTGTCGATTGCGGGAGATGCGGCTAACTGGCCGACGTGCACCCGAACACTCCCGAAGGCCCGCCGACGTCGCGTGCTGCCCGTTCGACCAAAAAAAAAAACACAGTGCATCTTCCCCTGTCCCCGCCCGAGATTCATTTCGGGGCGGCACCCGAAGACTTCCGAAGGCCTCCTCCCCCCCGCAAAGAAAAAAAAGAGTGTATCTTCCTCGGCCCCTGTGCTGAATTCAGACTCCCCCCAGCGCCCGCCGTTTCGGAAAACACTAAGGAGTTCCCCACGGGCCCGCCCCTCACCACGGCACGTTTCCCAACACTGGCAACCAGGGTCTCGTGGGAGCGTTAGGCGAGACCCGCTACATGCTTTAGAAGTGTTAAGGATGAAAATTATTGGGCCGGAGTCCCACAATTCAACCCGGTAAAAGTATCTGACAGCATCAGCCAGCTTAGCTTTGCGCTTCAGAGGAGGGGAATAGACTAGGAACGACTCCGGTCCCGAGGACCTTTGCCCTGTTGGCCCTACTGTGAGCAAACAAGGAAAAAGGAAAAAAGGGTTGCCTTCACAGCCTATAAAGCCACACAAACCAAAAAGACAATTCCAAAATCTAACTGTTTTTCCTAATTAGCCTCCCGTCGTTTCTTATCCCCTTGTCTCACCTCCTACTCATGTCCTATTCCTACTCCCAGCTCCTGCTTCCGTTCTTCCCCTTTCCCACCTACTGCGGTGAGGTCTATCTTAGCACTCCTTCCTCTTGCAATCTCCATCTGCCTGTCTCTTGCGACCCATCATCCGAGTGCCCAGGATTTGTCTTCTACTTCCCCTATTTGCTATTCAACCCCTGGCCTAGCTATAATCTTTCTCCCTCAATCTTCACCATCCGCTCACTTTGACCCCGCGTTTCTCTGAACCATTTCAGGCCTGATTCCCAATTTCTGGTCCTGCTAACTTTCCTCCTCCAGTCTTCCATCACTGCTCTTCGAAGGAGTTGTTTGAATGTTTGTAGGGTTTGCTTGTTGGTCAACTCCGTGGATTTGAAGACTTTGTCGTTCCTCTCCTGCCAAATGACTGTGAACCCAACTGCCCTTGTCACTTGTGCAACATAGCCCCAACCCTTTGTCATGTTGTGTCCATCGTGTATTCCCCCCAGCAGACACCATTTTTTTGTCCATGCAAATACTCCATTGGAACAGCTCTCCCAAAACCTGGTCCACCAGAACCAGATCCCGCGAGAGACTGGGCAATCCCACCATAAATGTACTGTAGATTCGAAGGCCCAGTCGCACCTTGTGCATTTCAATTCGACCTTCACTCCTCTCTCCGCTAGCCACACCGCGGATGGAGTAGCTACCATCGACGCCAACCACAAGGTAGATGCTTGTCTCTGACATGGGATCCTCTTCAGTTGTTCCCAACATCGTTTGAGGGCTTTACTAATCTGCATAGGGTCGAGGGCCAGAAGCTGAGACCATCTTGCTCTTGCCACCACTTCTGGGTGCTTTATTGGAATCAAGCTCTTATAACCAATTCTCTGAGTGTAGTTGAATAGACAGACATTCTCTCCTCACCTTTCCATAACCCTCCACTCCCACATTCTCGGGTCTAGCTTCAACTCTGCTATTGGCTTGCCATTTGCCACCAATGA